CAGTGTGTGTGGGGGCAGTATGGGAGGCAATGTGTGTGTATGGAGGGGCAGTATGGGGGGCAATGTGTGTATGGGGGGCAATGTGTGTGTATTGGGGCAGTATGGGGGCAATGTGTGTGTATGGGGGCAGTATGGGGGCAATGTGTGTATGGGCTGACAGTGTGTGTGTATGGAGGAGGGCAGTATGGTGAGTGTGTGTGTATGGGGGGCAATGAGTGTGTATGGGGGGGTATGGGGGCAGTGTGTGTGTGTATGGAAGTATGGGGGGCAATGTGTGTAGGGGGGCAGTGTGTGTGTATGGTGGGCAGTGTGTGCGAGTCCATACATATATATATACACACACACAGACTGCTGAGTCCATACACACACTGCTATGTCCATACACACACACAGACACACACAATAAGCCTACCTGTCACTGGAGGCTGTTGCTGGGGGTCAGGCAGCCATCTTCTGCAGCAGCATGGTCTGCTGCTTTACGGTTGGGGCGGGGCTTATGTGCACAAGGCGGGGCTTCATTTGGGGGCGGGGGCCTGTGCTGGGGAGCCAATCAGTGCTCCCTCCGGCCACAGACAGCCCCCAGCACCTCAGCACTGCATTCCCTCGGGCTGTCACAGACACACACACTGTTACAGTCCGAGGGAATATAATTGAAACACATGGCCAGCATTTGGGGGGCCCCAGCATGATGTAGGGGGGGCCATGGCGACGCCACTGCCAGCAAGACTGCTCAGATTCCTGCCCCCTCCTGTGACTGAGCATCCACTGCATGTGTCACAAAGAGATCACTTATCTTCCTATCAAAACAAGTCATCTGCTGTCATAAGAGCATGCACTTTCCATGACTTTCTGTCTATACTTAAATTTTTTTATAATTTTGTGCAGCTCTTGATGTCTTTTGGAAGAAAATATGGAGATTTACATAAAAATAAATACAGCAGTTTCCAAAAATATCAACCTGTTCTTTGAAAAATGTAAACATCTGTAGATGGCATTGTACAGTTGCAGTTAACTGACAAGGCTGACTGACGAGACCCAAAGAAGGCCGAAACTATTGTCCGAGGTGGCTGTATCTCTTGTGCATTTCGGTTCTGGATTGCCCTTATGGGTGGGATCAGTCTGATAGGCTTCGGAACATGTTCTCTCTGTAATGGCACGAGTGAGCAAAAACTATTTTGAGACCTGAGTGGGGATTTACCGAAGGGCAATCTACTTGTTTTCTCTAAGTTTTTGTCCGTTCTCAGAGCTATAGTATTCTTTGTTTTTGATTTAAAGAGAAACCTACTATTTTTTAGTTTTTGCCTCATATTCATGCTGTGTTTTTCCCACATTCATTTTTTTTCTTTTTGCTGATATAGAAATGTTTGCAGCTTTTGGCAGTACACCTTTATCACACTGGCGTACATATCGCGGTTGCAGGGGTTGCGGCTCCGACCGGGCCTGGCCCACCAGGGGGCCCAGCCGCCTTGCGACCCGGTATGTACACCAGTGTGGCCAGCCTCTTCTCCTGGGGGGCCCAGGAGTTGGCCACCTCAGAGCCCCATGAGGCTGGCCCTGGTGTCACCGGGCTGGCAGGTGCTTGAGGGAGTACTCTCCCCTGAGTGCTCTCTACCCAGCTCCCTTGCATGCACCGCACTGATGCCGGAGCCGGAATATGACGTCATATTCCAGCTCCGACATCAGTAAGTGGCGAGCGAGGGAGCTGGGCAGAGAGCACTCAGGGGAGAGTGCTCCCTCACACGCCCGCCAGCCAGCCTGGTGACCAGCCGCCCACCACTGGACCCCACCACTGGACCCCAGGGAATCCCCTCAGCTCTCCCAAAGGTAAGGAGGCTGGGGGATTACATTTTAAAGAAATATGTCTGTGTGTTAGTGTTAGAGTGCGTGTGTGTTAGTTTTTGTGTGTCAGTGTGTGTGTCTGCTAGTGAGTGTGTTAGTTTTTGTGTGTGTGTTACTGTGTGTGTTAGCTTGTGTGTGTCTGC